ATTTAGCAGAAAAAGCAGCGTAATAAGCACTTTATATTGATTAAATTTTTAGATCTAAAGGAATAATTTTATCTCAAAATTCAAATCTATAAATCCAATCAGCACAGAATGCTTGTTCAGCTGTTTTTTTACTGAATGCAATCAATGTAAAAGGACTAATATAAGTGCACTATATAATACATTATTTAGGAGCACATAATCATATATTACATCATATTTTATCATTATTATATGTGCTTTTGGTAATGAAAATTCTCCTGTAGCGTACGTGATAGAATATATGAAACTTGCTGGGCAGATGACATGTTAATACATGAGTATATTAAACAATGATATATATTCAAGTATATTTTATTAAGATGTAACCGTACATGCACGTAGGGGAATTGTGAACGATATTGTTGCAGTATATTAAAGTAGTGTAATCTCTCATTTCTCGCTCCCAGCGATAGTTCGATATACGCTCAGTGCCATTATAATACGTGACCATACAACGTACATGCTGTTTAAGATATATACGTATACCATATGTGTTTTCGATGTTTTTGAGGTAGGAGAGAATGGGGCAACAGCGAATGTCAAAGAAAAAATTTAAATAAAGTCGGTAATTATTTACTAATTATAGAAGTCTTATTTACTTAAAAATTATTTAGCTTTAAACTGCAATAATTAACATTCATGTTAAAATTATATTGTAGTTTATATTGATAATATATAAATGTTAGTTATTATAGTTTAAAGTCAAATAACTGAAGCATTTTCTTTAAATAGATACTTCTATAATAATCAGTTTTATTTAACTTTTTTCTTCGATGTTCGCAGTTTTGCCACTCTCTCCTATATATTATTACTGTTTTTACCGAAATTGAGAAACGTTTATGTAGTTATACTTATAATATAAACTTATAAGCATATTAATTTCATCTTATACCTTTACACAAACGGAATTTTGTAAATAAACAAATCTGTTTGTAACGCGAGTTTTACAACTTTCATGGAAATTAACTGTCTAAAGTTTTTGTATTCGGTGCGTGGTGACATGGAACTTTGCAGTTTATATGGCAGTGTATCTTTGTGTAATTATCGCGCGTTATTTTTACGTCGCAACCGTCAGGGGTTGCACACCCCCGTTTTACATATTTTACTGAGATTTATTCCGTCGCTGCAGAAAACTTGACGGTAACGTTGTGGAATTTTGTGTTATTTCACGCGATGTTCTTTTCCTGTCACGGTACCATCGTCTATGCAGACTGTAGTGTCTAACGTTAGTAGTGAATTCAGGAAACTTGAACAAGACTGTCACATAATAGAAGTATTATTTTTATCTAACGTTTTAGAAGTTTGCATATGGTCTTTCAAATTCCTCAACATGTTACAGGCAGAGAAAAAAAATGTAACATGAGAAATATCTATCTCATAAATATAATATAATGACGCAATGGTCTTTTCGAATTGAAACATCTTCATACAAATTTCAACCTTTTCGTTTTGCGCAAAAATGAAAAGAAATAAAATTCTGTGTCAAAAGTTTAAAATATGAATGAAAAATATCTTCCATTTTCTCTCTCTTAGGAAAAGGAAAAGCAAAAGATTGCTGTATTTATGCAGTATTTAAAAACGCATGTTTTGTGTCATGTGAAATAGTAATTCGCAGATGAAAACTGTAGTAAACTCGTGTTAATATTTTTTCAGCAGTTTCCTAAAAAAAAATTAACTTTTTTGTATACGGTATCCTTCTCTAAGGAGATCCCATTTGAGATTATCAATAAAAGCAGTAACTTTGTGACAGTCTTGGCTCCGAGCTGTCTGACCTGAATAAGAGAAGCTTTTGGCTTGCGTTCTAAAAAAGATGATTCTTGGATTACTTAATATGTGCATCTACAGGAATTAATTCGAGAGATTAATTATTGAAAAAATTTTTTAAGTTAATGAAAATAGCTAAATAAAATACAAAGAGAAAGAACCATTACGTAATACATATATATGCATCGATTTCAGCGTACAAAACAAATGGCATATTTATCAAGCCGATAGCATTCTTTCGCAGTAAAAGAAATGCGCCAACGGAAATTTCATGTCGGTAAAATTGCGAAGAGAAAATCCTCGCTTGAAAGGAAGAACTCTTAAAAATGTAGCAAGAGAAATCTTGAGAAATTGTTTCTTTGCTGAAAAAAATTGGAAAATTTTAATAATTTTAATAATTGCTAAAATTTTGTTCGAATTATCATGATTTTTAAATAATATTATTGTTAGAAACGAGGAAGAAAGGTTTTTTATAATTAAAGTTTTTTTATAACAAATATTTTTACAAAATTTTATGTTCTACATCATATTAAGAATTATCTTGAAGCAAAAATAAATAAAAGCGAATAAAAGCTTATCTTTTAATTAGTATTAGTAAACTTTGGCAGAAATATTATCTGCACCCCCATGTAATTTATAATTATATCAAATAATCAGAAATATAAATAAATTTCATGAAGAAAATTTTCTGAGGACACTGAAATAATAAATCGAGATAAAAAACAAGAAAGAATAAATTTAATAATGTAAAAATTTACATACATGATACATATACATATAGATGTAATTTTTTAAAGAAATATCTATAACGTTCTGATTCAAGCTCGCAGATTAATTTAAATTTTAATAGGCTCATATAAAAGATATTTTAAATTATTTTGTGTAAAATTTAAACTTTGTTTTCTGAGAAAGATCGCAAGGAATTCGTTTTCTATATTCGCTCTTCTTCGGCGTATCTCAAAGTAGCCAGAAGCTTGACTTACTATCGCATGGACGAGCGACTTGTACGAGAGAATTCTTTATTGAAAGGAACGTTTTACTTACTTCGAGGAAGATGACGTCAGGTCAACGATCACATTTAGTTCATCACTTACTGAGCATGATTTATACACATATGGTCGTACACAATTTTCATCCAACTTTTTGATAATGGTTTGGTATTTTTGACATTTCTAGTATTTGACAAAAATGGATATCTTAATAGAAATCTTAATTATGCATTTATTGTTCTTTTTAATGTGGAATAGTCAACATTATTCGAATCTCTCTTTATTTAAAAAAAAAACACCATACCTCTCTTTATTCTATTTTTGTTAATTTTTTGGTATCTTTATTTTCTTTTTAACTTCTAATTTCTTATTGATTTTTTCTCTCTCGGTTGTCAAAGTAAATTACTGATCACTAAAAATTTATTTTGTGTAAAATATTACTTATTTTGTGTAAAAGATATGTCGCGTTATCCATGCACATATTAAATATATGCGCCTGTTCGAAACTTTTCTCGTGATAAGCATAACATCCTTCACGCATTATTATTCCTGTATTTGTCGTCAAGATGATAGCTCCGCACGCCGACTGCATTTCAGTGAACGGCCGTGCGATTGATGGCCGTGCGATAATTCACATTCGACTGCACGCAGACTACTTTGTTATGATAAGAAGTCTGAAACTTTTATTTTCTTATGTCGTGATTTGCGAAGAAGTTTGTATAAGAAAAAAATGAGATACTTATCTCTCTCTCTCCTTCACGATTTATTAGCTATTATTCTGACATATATGTATCGCAGGTTGAGATTAGGACTCTATGGTTCGTTCCTATCACATACGAGTTTGAACTTTCTCCATTTATCTGCCTAACATTTTATCTGCACATGTTTTTTTATTATTAATATATTTTTTTATTTATTATAATATTTATTTACAATTTTAATATTTATTTGCAAAAATAAATTACAAAAAAATTATGAATAATAAAATAGGAAGCAGAACAATGCATGCCAAGAAATAAAATTAAGATTTTGAGATATTTATATCAATACGATTGACTGTGTTATTGTTTTATATCTTCTATGTGTATTTTGAAATTCTCAATCTCTCTTATATCTTTTCCATTTCATCACATTATTATATTCATGAAGAATAGCGAAAATACATGCAGTTGATAGCCGTTATGAAGGCATAGCCGCCTTGATGAAAATAAGTTCATCGGATCGCGTAATCATCGTTGCGACGACAGATTAAAATCAACTGAATGATGGACGTAACGAGGTTATACGCTTCATAGAAAAACAGATGCTTCTGATTAGCATGAATAATCGATCTCTGTTGATGCTCCAATTAATTATTTATATAACAAATTGACAAACACCTGAAAGATATTGAATTTCCAAATTGAAGTATAATATCATTAAGTATTATTTTTATTTTAGGTTTGTAATAAAGAGATAACAGTGTGGATTAGACAGAGCTGTAAAATGTAAATAAACATATTTAATGTTATGTCACAAGAAAAATTTGATTAAAAGAGTACAATATGTTAAATAATTAAATAATAATTTTCATTGTTTTCTGGAGTATAACATAAAAATTATTTTATATTTATTAATATATTTTTCTAAAAAGTATTGAGGAAAAATATCTAAGGATATATATATGTATATATATTATATATACTTACAGACACATATAATTATTAAATTCGGCATTAAATATTTTCTCTCTCTCTCTCTCTCTCTCTCTCTCTCTCTCTCTTTCTCTTGTTATTTAATCTAACAAGGGATTCTAACAAGGGACGTCACTCAACTGTCCGGCACCGATTTGATTCTCCGTGAAATATATTGTTAAACACAAAAATCTAAGAGAGACACATATTTTTTTATACGTGCGCTAACTGATCATGTTTCTATTTCAAGCCGAATACCATCGGAAGTATAAAAGATGGAAAACAATTTTTTAAACAAAAGTTGTACGGTTTTAAGACAACATATTTTTGTAACAACATATTTCACGGAGAATCAAATCAATGTCGGACAATTGGGTGACATCCCTTGTAAGTAAGTAAAATTTATATATACAATTTTGCATCTGTCTTTGTAGTTCCACACCGATAAATCAAGAAAACGTAGATTGAACTGGACACGCGGATTGTTCTGTTCCAGAAACGAGTGAATTTCAATGAACTTTTAATTGCCATCAACATGCCCGTCAAAGGAGTTCGGGTGCTACCAGACATACCGAAGAATATGCCAAACATGGAGATCTTGATCCAGGAGTTTGAAACTGGCTTCTGTTCGATGTCAACCAACCAGGATACTGCATCGAAATCGTTAACTTCGAACGACGGCAATTTCGTCAAGAAGCTCGTCAAAGCTTACGAGTCAAGCGTAAGAGCGTCTAACGAGAATAGTCAGAGAGAGGGAAATAAAGAAAAATTCAATTTCTTTAACACTCTTGATGTTATTCATAATCAGAAGAACGTAGAAAAAAATGACCCGAGTCTTGCGATATACGATACGCCCAACTCGCAATGTCAAAATAATTTAAGTAAAAAATCCAAGATCTTTTTGACTTCGTTTGAGGAATGCGAAGTCGAAGATGATTTTGTAATTGTTAATCGGTATCGTTCGGAAAGCGATAAAAGACCAGTTTCGATGACATGGCCGCGATCCTCTTCTAAGATCAACATGTACAGCTCCATTGACGATGATATATTGATGAATGTACAGTCCAATTCCTCGAAGAGGAATGAAACGTGGGACCTGAGAAAGGGAGACATAAAATTGGAGGATAACTCGATGAAGAGTAAATTAATGATTTGCTCAAGTCCTTTGGAGGATGTTGAAGACACAAACTTGGACCGCGAGGATCCTCTTGACGATATCTTGACAAGCTCTTGCGACTCGAGCAGCAATAACAGCTATAGAAACTTACAAGCCGACCTATACGACTTCGAAAACGAACAATGGCAACTCTCCTCGACCTCATTGTCATCGTTGTCATCTTTCTCGAGATCGTCATGCAACAATCCGTTAAGTATAAATAACGATCTGTTGGATTCATCTTTCCAAGACATAACCGTTACATCTTCTAAAAATATTTCAAAAAACCAAGAGAATCTTCAGAATTTCAAACCGGTTCCAAGTTCGTCGTCTAACTTTGACCGGAAGTCGCTGCCAGTAATCGGCGCTTCGCTGAGTGAAGATCAACCGATCAAAATTAACGACGATACGTGCGTAACATGGATATCAGCGTTAGGCGAGAAACTGACGCGAAAGAAACCGCTGAAAAAGTTACTAAATTCGACATTCTATACTAAACTATTGAATTATAAGAAAGTCTGGAAAAAATCGACGGAGAAACAACCGAATGAACGTACTTCCGATTCGGGATTTATCGATCGATTTTTGTCTTCGTCTTCTTCACAGAAATCCTGGCACTCCGATCCTGATGAAAAGCCGCCGACCTTCAGTACCTTCGGTCGCACTAAAAATGATTGCGTCAATAACAAGATCCGGTTCAAGAGTTCTCGTATGGTCTTAACCGAAGTGCCCTGCACGACCACTGCCTACAAAGAGAACCACCAGAACATCGAATCTTCATTGAAAAGCATGATGCCTGCAAATTCTTCGACGTTGAAAGTCTCCTGCGGATACCCGCCGCTTCTTAAGCACCCTTATTTGACCCGAAACGGGATCCCCAAACACCCCTTCGTCACGAAGACAAAGCTGGATCAAACAATAGAGAAGGAGTCAGGTGACGAGGAGATGAGATACGACGCGAAGGAATGTAAATCTGAATTGGAATCTTCAAGTATGTCGCTTGTGTCTCAAGTTGATCTTAACATCTCATTCTCCAGAATGTCCGAATGGTTAACTTCATCTCCAAACAACTGCGATCTGTTGAGGTAATTATATTGATAATAATACTATTACTATAAATTATATAACAATAATTATGATTAATTACTAATAGACAATTATTAATACGAGAGGAAAGCAGAAAGTAAAGTGAATTTATGTATTTCTTATATACTATATATTACACGTTAGCAAAATATATACAATATTATTTTTCAATTTAATCGTCCAATTTTACAAAACATTTTGTGTAACAGTCCATGAGTTCTCTGATTTCGTTTGTGAAGAAGGTTTCTGACTTCGAAACCATCACTTCTTATTGTGCGAAAGAAATAAATAAATTCGCTTTACTGTCTAACTTTCCCTCGTATATAATATTAATAATAACATTATTATTAGTAATGATATAATTTATAACATTACATAGTAGAATAAAAATATAATGTATAATATACATATAATATAATTTTATATACGTAATATGTATATAAAAATATATTATTATATATTATCATATATATATAAAATAACATAACATATATAATTATATTAAAATATAATAATAAAACAGTAATAATGGATAAAAACGAAATTTTATTTTGGTTTTTTGTTTTTTATTGTGTTATACATATATAAAGATAACAAATAATAAAATAATAGTTTACATAATTTGCAATGCAAACACAATCGATTACTTTAATAAATATGTATATGTATATGAATATATTCAGATCACGTTTGTGTAAATCAACGTCAGCACTCGATGGGCTTGTTCTTCAGCAGACACCGGTCCATAATGTTCCCATGTTGTGCAACTTCAGCACGAATTTCTTATCTGCCATACACAATAACATGCAGGGAGAGCCTTGCACGCGTTATGCCACCATTAGTCCGAAGAATTTAAGATTTTCCATATCACGGGAGAAATCACAAGCGATCGAAAGGTGTTTCGACATCTAGAAGGGTGCTAATGATATTCTTCTTTCCGGAAAAACTTTTAGGGTGGAATTTTCCAGATTGAAATTTAATTAAACTTCATCGCTGAAATACGTCACGTTGGATAGTAATCTATCTAAATTACGATCAAGCTTCTCACAATCGGAAGTAGGTCTTTGAAAATTAATTTACGACCGTGTTTCACAATTATTTATAGTTCAAACTGTGCACGTCACTTTACTTACAATTAGATCTAGGAGCGATGATTCTGTTCCACTGATTACTATTAGATCGACGAATGCAACTTCGATTTATGCTTTGTTTGTACCATTCGCTGTTTACGCCGAAATGGTTGACAGGTCATTGGCAGACGGATTTGCTGAGTCAATTCGCTCTAACATATTGATATTAATTGTTATTGCAAATTTCGGAGTATCATTGTATAATTGTTATACTCAATAGAATTCTGATTCAATGAGAATTTTTACTGATAATTTAAGTTGCATATCTATTTATCTATTTATTAATCTATTATATTTATATAACGATACTCAACAAAGTTGAATCTTGTGCGAGTCCTATAATTGTCCAATAATTGTCTTTTATAGCTTTACAATTTTATATATCGATTTCGATGCGAGACTATTCTTGCATAATTAAAACACGTTACGGGAATGTGCCAATTAAAAATGTGATCTGAAAAGTTCAAAATTAGACTTGTACGCGTCTCGTTTATCTTCTTTTTTTAAAACCGTCAATATGAACATTCGAAGAGATTTCCACCAAAGAGAAGTTGAACGATAATGTAATTTTATTCTTTGCAAACTTTTTACCGAAAAAATGTTATATATAGTAATACGCATTCTTCATAAATTTCGCGCATTCTTCATAAATTTCGCGAATTAGCACTCGAGATCGCATTTTTAATCTACCTTTTTTTAGCTTTAACATTATATTCAATCTTTCTCTCTAACAATTAATCTTTCTCTCATATTGCGCAAGAAGTAAAAGGAATTTGACGTTCATAGTTCCATTTACTTGTCCGTTTCTCTCGTCGAAATCGGTAAGTTTCAACAGACAGATTCGTGATATCGTATATATCTCATTTATTTCTTGCGAAGTACAATGAAGATTCTTTCAAAAACAAGACCATATGAAGAACGATATCATGTAATTTATCCTCTGTTATTGACAAAGATACTCTCCTCGAGTCTCTCGTATTTCTTTTGGAAATGTTGAAGAAGATCTCGAGTAGCAGTGAACGGATTGATAGTTGTAGAATAATGTAGAATAACGATTTTGCAGTTCTTGGCGTAGAAACTTACATATTATAGTTTACTATAGGGTTTATATTAAGAGATAAATAACATTTTTTAATACGATAGAGTATACACTTGACCGCACATATTGTGTTCAAGAGATTAATATATACAAAATGTTATCCAAATTCAGAATTTTACGTATTCTTCAATAAGTAAATCCTTTATCATTTTTACAATTAGTGTTAGTGTCAGATATAAATATTTTCCTTTACTAACAATAAGATTGGATTCATGCACATTTTGACGGAATATTTGTAGAAATTATACAGAGGAAGGACGGTTTTGCTAAAGTATTCAAAAATTTAGTTATATACAGATCTGAAAATAATTTTATTGGATTATTAAAATAATTATGTAGAGGGTTTAAACTGGTTGCTAGAATGTCAAAACTTTTTGCAGCATTGCTCATCATACTTAAGATTCCTTTGCAATTATTTTAATGATTCAACAAAATTATTTTCAAATCTGTATCTAGTTAAGTTTTTTATTAAAATTCAGCAAAATCGTTTTTTCCATATTTTAATTTTAAAATCGGTATATCTTTTAAAAATTACATATTGACATGTGTAAAGCTTCAAATTCCCAAGTTCTTTTGCTTTATAGATATTCATCAAGAATGTTTATGAATTTAAGATTAACGATATACATGAGACACAATTTCGTCGACATAATAACACCGATACAATGAAATTTTGAATAACGAGCAACGTGACGAAATTTATTTATACTTAACGGTTAATGTCACGTCAATTTGCATGAAATTCGCACTCGAGCGCTCTACATATAATGCTAGCGACAATAATCTGGCGTAGAAATGGCAAACACGTAATATAAAGACGGAATATGTTTGTACATGTTTGTTTGGTGAAGATATTCTATAATGTAATACAAACGACGCACCGAAAGGCGTTATTATCATTGTACAGAAACATAGAAACTATAGATTTTTCACGGGAAGAGCTATTCGTTTCGAAGGATGACTGCCCATTCCGTCATAGAGCTTACGCGAAACATTGTCATTCTCTTAATCCTTCGACAACGACATTTGTACCACAGGATTGTTATAGCTCGCAGTATCTTCATAAGTTTTTTTAACCGTTTATTTATTTTTGTCTAACTTAATTTTAAACAATTGTAACAATGTGTCAATTTAATTTGATTAAAAATTAATTATAAATATTAAATTGAATTTTGAGAATAATATTTCTTAAAAACCAGTATCCATTAAAAAATTGTTTATCTATCTGATGTGAGATATTAATTCAACGATATCATATTATTTATGTTCTTTGTTAAGAATCGCATTGGAACTTTATAATTGCTCATACAACATTATGATTGTCGATAATCGTAACATATCGTTAACTGTAAACTAACAACTGCTCGAGTGGTATCGGTATGACAAGCGACAAATTCGGAAATTCCATTATCGTCTATCCATCTCGTCTCGCGAAATTCAATTAAGCCTCAAAACCGCACCGAGTTTGTCAGCTTCGTTCTTCGTTCTCTAGTTTGATTCTAGCGTGTCGAATTCGTTAAATCTTTCACTGTATGTACTATCGCGGAAATATCGCTCGTAAAAAAAAAATGGACGATTTGAAAAGGATTTATTTGTTTTACATTTTTCAATTTACAAAATCAGGATTTAGCTCGAAAACTTTTACATTTCTATTTTTTATATTTCTGTGTACCTATTCTAATTCGTGAATCAATCGCAGATTGATCGCAGACAAAAAATAATGAACACAACGATCACTTTTCAAGAAATTAATTAAATTTTAAAAAAATATTGCAGTACAATACATTTTTATACGTTTCGCAGAAGTCTAGAACATTATTTCACGAGGAATATAAAGTTGGAAAAATGCAAATATTAATTGTTAGAAAATGTTAAATTATTATAATAACGTATTCTTTGTATAAAATTTAAATTTTTTAACTCAAGCTTAAAAAATTCATTCCCTTTGAATGTTTGCCACTCTTGGAACATCGAGCCGGCATATCACGTACGATCGTTCGATGACGTAGGTAGTAGCGTTTGCAGTTTTCCGCCCACGTTTAAAAATGAGCAATGACGTAAGTACATCTATTGAAACTCGCCCACGTGTATACGTACGGGATAATATATAATATCACTGAGAACATTTTCTTCTGCATGGATTCCTCGATCATTTTTTTTCTTTGATCAATCTTATCATCGCAAAGAAAAAAGAAAACGTTTTAATTGAAAGCAATCCTTCCGTAACATTTGAATGTTTTAATAAAAAGAGAATTAGTATTCAACGAAAGAAAAAATAACGTACTATTTTTATATGCTGTATGGCTGTGAAATATACAGGTAATCAATATTGTATCGATTCTGAAATTAAAGCAAGTGTATTTGACAGGAAATTTGGGTTGTATGAATCACGAATGTTTACCTTTTTTATATTTGGCGACAGGAAAAATCCTATTACTTAAGCACTTAGAGAAAAGGTCGAAAAAGATTTACGGTTCACCGAGCTAAATCTCTCCAGGATTTAGAATTGTACTGTTTATGCTACTGAGCTAGATTCCAGCGACGACGATTTCTGTTATTGAGAAAACGAGTTAACAAACTCGTTAGCCGAATTCTATATCTCCCCTGAGTCATCGCAAATAATACGGCGAGACCAGTCGAAAATATGTTAGCGAAATTGCAGATATTTCCAGATTTCAGTTTTTATGAATGTAATCGCGCTATCATAAAACAAAAAATCTTTCTCAATCTGTATATCAATTGCTTCTTCAAATTTTTTCTATGTAAAAGTTTATATTTTATTAAAATGTTTAAAACATTTTTATACTAATATAAAATATATAAGTTTAATAAAATTATTATCTTTATAAAATTTTAAAGTTTTAGATAATAATTTAATGAAAACGTTTAAAAAATAATAAGATGTTTAAGAATATCTACAATCGGAACTTTACGTTGTACATACCTTTAAATAATACATCTTACTCTAAAAATCAAATCATAAAATAAAAAATTTTAAATAACATTTTTTATGATTTGACCTTTTTATCACGATTTTTATTCCCCCCCATTAGACATAGGAACGTCCTTTGGAAAACGTTTTTTGGAGATCGGATTATGGATCGATACAGATATTACAAGACTTGGAAACCTCCATTACTTAATATAATAATTTTTTTTCTATTCTATTACACGATCAGAATTATTGCGTGCAGCGAGAAGAGATCGCGTGCATCTGCTTCGGAGAGAATAACGTCGGCGGAAGCCGATGAAAGGTGCAATTTTCCGAAGCGATGGCATGGAAAATGAATGCATCGCCATCGTAGTAACATTGCCGATGACGGTGATTTTCTTATTTTCTTTTATTTTTCGAAACGTCGGCCGTTGCTCGCACCTTGTAATGTTGTCGTACATGAATGGCGAGTCAACATTTTTCCAGAAAGCCGCCAGAGTAAAAGTCACTGCACGCCAAAAATGTAGTTGGAAAATAATATTAAAAAAAGTTAAAAAATAGGATTATTATTATATCTCTCTAAACATTCTCGGAATAATGGGAATAATAAAAATGCTACTTAGAAAGTTTTCAGGTATCCTATGAAAAACATAATCCCTCGAGGACGTGAATTATAGTCCGTTTTCCGCACAATTGTACATACGTATTCACTTTCTTACAAAAATGCGCTTTCACAAGGGGAGAAAACCCT